GAAGCTCTATATCGACTCTCCGACGCTTTTTACAAATTGGGATGAGCCGTCATGCTTACTTTGACTGGGGCATTCTACCTGACGCTTGTACGGGAGTTCTATGCCAATATTGAGAGGAAAATGGACCCGTTTGGGGATATTGTGAGCACTATTAAAGGCACAAAAATCACCATTAGCAAACAACAATTGTGCACCTTGCTTCGCATCCCCAACGATGGTCATCCGGTTGAAATGAACTCTGTAGTGGTGCTCACCGGCCCCGCTTACAAGGAGATTGATGTCATGAACAACTATGGATTCGATGAAGAACTTAGGGCCCGTGTTCTTGAACCCCGAGAGAGACTAATTGCATACCTTTTGAGCTTCAACATCTTGCCAAGAGCTAGTGACACGCATGTGTTTCCGCGGTTGGACCTCTATCTCATGCACAAAATGATGAACGGACTTGGAGAAATCGAGGGCATTCCGTTGGCCCCTCTCATCATGACAAAAATGAGTGGCGTCGTCAAAACTAAAAGAGGTGATAAAAAATTTATTTATCCTCTTCTACTCACAATGATTTTCAGGAGTTTTGGTGTCGATCTTAGAAATGAAGAGGTAGAGTACACCACCGAAGCCCAAATTTTGAGGCCAAGCACTATGGTGTCCCTCCACTTCAAGAAGGTGGGAGGTGCATGGGTTCGCAAGGACGATAATGGGGACGAAGAGATAGGAGAAGCTGCCGCACAACCCGCAGCCCGGCCACGACGGACTATGGCACAGGGCATTGATTATATTGTTGACTCCATGGACCGTATGCATACGCGGATGAACGTGTACGAAGCTAACCAAGAGGACATCCGCACCCATCAAACAAGGATGGAAGAGCATTTGGACCACATTGACCGAAGGTTTGGGCAATTCACCCAACACTACTATGGTCAATTTGGACACCCCCCTCCCGACCCACAAAATTAAGTTCTCATTCTTGTTATTTCATATGACATACTCTTCTCTAAACACACGCTTTATGGGGGATTGAAGTTTTTATGTTCCTATGCCTTCTACATTGAGGACAATGTAAATCAAGTGTGGGGGGGTGAATAATTAGTTGAGAAACTTTTTTTTTTGCAAATTAAATTTTTCTAGGAAGGTTAAAATTTTTGATATTCTCTCTTTTAAGGGTTTTGGTTGAGAAAGATTTTCTTTTACTCACAAAAATGTATTTTTCGATTAATTAAAATATTTATTAATCTTGAAATTAAACTACCACTTTCACTCAAACTTGTGACAATTTTCCAAATCCATACAAATGTGCATAGAGTGCAAATTCAAAATAAAAGTTTCATCCCAACTCCAAATCATTCTATTGTCTGATTCTCCTCATTTCTGACAATCTAGATATATAATTACGGAGATAAAAAAAACAAGAGTTTATATACAAAAGCAAAAAAAAAAAACTCGTGTTCTAGAATAGCCTTCTCTACAAAATTAAGCTGTCAGCCCAAAAAAAAAAATACCGACATACCCACACATTGCCTAAATTGTCACAAAATAAACCCATCAAGTGTTTAAATATTTTTCTTAATCTTAAATACATTTATTGTGAGTAATAGAAAAAAAGTTTTTGGCCCGAGAAAGATTAAAGAGTTTATATCTAATTTTTAACATCTTATTAAACTTTTAATTTGCATGGTTTAGTTTCTTTTCTAATTATACATCATTACAAAGAAATTGCTTGAGGACAAGCAACGCTCAAGTGTGGGGGAATTTGATAAGCACAATAATTACTTATGTTTTACATAAGTGATTATAATTATCTGTACAAAAATATGAAGCAAAAACAGGTAAATATTCCGGAGTGAGCGGAAACATGAAATACAACTTGGAACATAAAAAATAGGGTCAAAAGTCAAAAGGGGTCAAAAACCGGCACTTCTGGATCAATTTTGGGCATCAAAAGAGAAAAAAGCTAAGTACAAGATTGGGCGCAGGAACCGGCGCCGGTCATCACACATCCGGCGCCGGTCGTTGAGATTTCCCCCCCAAATCGGCCTGTTTCCAACCGGCGCAGAGCGACCGGTGCATTTTTTCACAAGACCGGCGCCGGACACCCTACAACCGGCGTCGGTTGTTCCGATTTCTACTACAAACACAGCTACGTGCAAGCGATTTCTTGATGGGAAAACTTCATCTTCCTCATATTTGATCAAATATCTCCTCCATACCTGCTTGTTGGGCTTGAATAGACTAAAAGATGTCATTCTTTAGCCTATATAAAGCCTTCAATTCATCAAACAAATACATTCCATTCCATAGATTAATTCTTAGCTTTTATATTTTTGTTCTTGGTATTTTCTTCAAGTTCTTGAGGAGGGAAGTTCATCCTCCGAAATCATTGGTGTTTAGGTATTATTTCCTTTGTAATTTCATGTTCCATTACATTTATTATTGTATTGTGATTAATATGAGCATTAGTAGCTAATTTCTTAGCTAAGGCTAGGGATGAACTTCAATGCCCACTAGGTGTTTGATAAAAGTTCTAAACCAATAAATTGTGATTTATCCTTTATGTATTGATTGTTTATGACTATGGTGTACAACATAGAAGTATGTTAAATTTAGTTTATACTTGCAATTAACGTTGAAGTCTAAACTATGAACATTAAAGGATAACCATATATAGTACTGAGAATAGAAATATATCCGGTCTTATATGATACGGGTGTGATGTCTTGATATTCAACGGGGTTTTCGGTAGATGAATGTAAGCCGTAACGGGACTTACACGTAACGAAAACCACGGTCTCGGTGCCTTAACCGGAGTTGAGAATATATTAGCGACATTGTATTCATAATTATTGACAAAGAACTAATATTCAACCCTATTAAAGCATTTAAGTGATTCCTGAAGCCTTAGTTGTTGTTATCATTCATCATAAATTCAAATTTAGTTAACGATTATCTTTTTGAACAAAAAGTGAAAAGCCAAAAATATAAAACACAAATCAAAATCCGTACTCTTTACTCATTTATTCATTTAAAGCTATCTACTCTTGGACTTGAATTAAACGACGTTTTCTTATGGATTCGACCCGGTATTTTACCCGAATTTATTACTATATCGGCACTTGTACACTTACAAGTTTAGCCCGGTCACCTATGAAAAGACAAAAGTGTCCATCGATCAGGAATATTTTGAAGGCCACTAGAATTGTTGATGGAGGAGCATTTTTGTCTTTTAATACGGGTTTGGGGGTGCAAATACATTTTTTTTTTAAAAACGGAGCGTATAGTTTAATCCGGACAATAAAATGGGATGCAAACTCAAATTATCCCTTATTTTTTGCATGAAAATGGTGTTTTCGGTTTGTATATTTTCAGTTTTTTTTTTTGCATCACACAACTTTTTTAATGGGGAGTTGAATAAATATAAACAAAAGAAGTAAACCTAGAGCATATACCCTTAGATATTGGAGGTAAACGTCAAATATGAAGTGGGGAGATGCTAGTTTGGAAGTTTAACCAAACAAATATGACAAAACATATCACGAAAATACATCAGTGGAAATTTAAATTTTTCCTAAACAGATCTTCCCTAATTATGACAAAACAATGAATATAACAATAATAATAGATTCGAGTTAGAACTTACAGATCTTCCAGCATCGCGGTGATAATCCTTGACCTTAGGTATCCACATTATATCTTCTTTCTGAAAGAACGGTTAGATCTCCTTTAGAGAAAGGCTACGAAATCTCTTCGTAGGGAAATAAACTGATAATACTGAATATGAAAACTTGTCACTAATTATGAAGGAGGAGAATGTATTTATACTACTTCTAAACTGGTTTCCCAATCACAATGAAACTCTTTCTCATTAATGAGTTTTAGTCCTACAAGGACCAATACTTATCATTAACGATTTTATTAATTAAATAAGTAAAGGCCTTTTTATTCCAATATTACTAAAATGAGTGAAAAAGACAAAAATGTGACTTGTTTTAATTTTTTCCAAAAAAGTGACTAAAGTCATTTATTCCTTATATTTAGTCATAAATTTATTAATTTAATAATATTACTTTGCAGCCACAAGCAGCTCTGCGGCCGCCGACCCAAGACCGTCGTTGTCACCGGCACCGCCGTCACCTTCACTGCCGCCGCCATCACCGCTGCCGCCGTCACCACCGCCGCCACCGCCGTCAGTCACTATCTCAGTGACTCCGGTCACAGTGACTCTGGTCACATTGACTCCGGCCTCAGTGTCTCCGACCTCAGTGAGTTCCGGCCACCATGACTTCCGGGCACCGTGACTTCCGGCCACAGTGACTTCCGGCCACCGTGACTGCCCGGCCCACCGACCCCAGTGACTGCCCGTCCACCAGCCACAGTGGACGTCGGAAAGTTTTCTGCCGTCCCCCCACCAGCAACAACACTCTACCCATCTTGCTACCTAGCCAAAACCGCCACCGCCACCCTGCCCGTCCCCTAGCCACCGCAGCTGCAACGTCCACTGCCGCTGCAACGTCCACTGCTGCCACCCCTTCCCCATCCACAACGTAACCCCCACTTGTATCCAACCCCCTTCCCTCACCACACCACAGTTACCGCCACTACCCAGCCCACACCATCGTGACTCACCATCGTCGTGGCATCGCTGCATCACCCCCAACCCCCTCCCCGATCTTCCCAGCCCCATCCCTGACCTTCCAAGCCCCCTCCCCAACCTTCCCAGCCCCCAGCGCCGCGACCCCAACCAGGCCGTCATCCGACGCCGCCCACAAGTACCTGAAACCTAACTGTAGCCACTGTCACCCACCACCCCAGATTCAACCGTAGAAAGAAGAAGAAGAAGGGGACCACGACAGAGATGGAAAACGACAAGAGGCGAGAAGGAACTTCGTGACCTTTGTCAGATCTGGAAACGATGGAGAGTGGAGAAGCTTCGTCAGATCTAGGAGTGGAAAACGGCGATCTTCAGCAAAGCTTCGTCCGATCTGGGAGCGGAAGGCTTCGATTAAGTGCAGAGAGAAGTCTGAGGGCGGATGATTCGACGGAGCGGAAGTCTTCAACGGTCGATTTGTCCAGTGCGGAAGTCTTCGACGGAGCGCAGAGAGAAATAGAGGCCAGACCAGACGACGGAGGAACGGAGCGACGGAGCTGAGGAGCGGCAGAGACGAAGATGAAGGTGTTGCCATGGGATGGCGTTTGAAATCGCCGGATAGCGTTGAAGATGGTTCTCGATGCGGGGAAGAAGGTCTCGATGAAGGTCTAGTGCGGGAAAGAAAATAACGGGAGAATTACTTTTTGGGGAAAAATCAAAATAGTCATATTTTTGGAATTGGAAACTTGAGCAATATCATTGATGCCATTTTTTCATAAGTAAAACAAAATAAACTAATAATACAACTAAAGTGGCTGCACATCTCTTTTACTTGTTATTATTATTTAATTTATTTTCCTATTTTCTTTAAATTCTAAATTATAAAAGAAAATATCAACTTTAGTTAATTAAAAATAAATCTTAATTAAGTATAATAAATCTAATTTATCACAATTAATTAATTTAATCAAATAGAATTCTCCTTCAACGTTATGAATTAAATATTGTTTAATCTAATTAATATTTAATCCATTTTCAGTATTACGAACTAAATACTATTTAATCTAATTAATATTTAATTCCCTCTAACAATTCAATCGGAAGGTATAACCACTTGTTGTGTGACCCACAGGAGCTTATATATTAAGCACTAATCAAATTAAGGTCTTAGCAAATCCCTAGACGATTCTCCACACAAACTTAATATATAAGGACGTTTGCGAGGACTATTCAAACTCCCTGTAATATAGAGCTCATAGTGATACAGTCCTTTCATTCAACGAACATTCAACTAAGTCTAGAAGTTGATATTGTGTCTATTCCAATAGCTTAGTCTTTATCTCTCAATCTTTCTAGATGATCCATAAGGATCATATCCGATCTCCGAAACGAATATATCCTTGCATTGGCCAATGACTTTATGATCCATCTAGATATGAGAAGTAGAATGTTCTCTCTTAATCTATTACGAGGAATGAATACTTTCTTGGCTCAACTACTACTCCATGTGCTTCGTGATGCACGCAACACATGTCGTATCTACCTCGACTAGAGTGCAAGCATTGGTCATAGTCAAAGTACATCACTCCGCACATGTAGTACGTATTGACCTCAATTCGGAGGACTATTACACTACTCTATACACCGATAATCCCATAGACACATGAATATAACTTATCAAATGGTTTCTCGGTGGGTATGCCAATATTCTCTAAAATATCTATGCGACCATCATGAATTACATGAACTCATAGTTATGAGATCAACTATACTTACTAAAAGTATGATGCAATCCACATACCAATCTTATCGCATATCATCAATATCCTTTTCTTGATGATCATTGATTGGGGCCTTTTTAGTACATACCTTATGTTATATCATATAAGCTCCCACTTACTTATTGACAACATAAGTTCAAGGGAACACAATTATGAATAAGATATTGACAATCGAATTACTTAATCATCAATGTGTAATACCGTATATATCAAATATATAAAATTGAATGTGATCAAGTACATATATCTCTAAAAAGTGATTGTCGCTAGGACATATATACTAATGGTATATGCTGATGGATAGTCTACCCGGAGGTATATATCCGAAGGGTTACTACGGGGAGTAACTTAGAGAGAAGTCAGAGCAAGTAAGTAAGAGAGAGAGTGTATATTTGGTATGTATTAAGCGTGGTTACAAATGGGGAAATGGGGTGCTATCTATAGTAGCAATAAATGTCGGGTAGGGACACGTGTCAGGCGCTCATTGGCTGAGGGGTCACCTCTACTGGTTGGCGCTGGCAGCCGCATGTGGCCGCATTTAATGCGGCTGTTGGATGGGACGTCTGTGCAGAGTACGGTGATCTGTACGCATGTGAAGCGGATATCTTGTCGAGTGAGATGCCTTCGGCTATAGAGCAGTAGCCGAGGGCTCTCCCTCCCGATGGCACCCCTGGTGCCGAGGGCTTACAGTGCCGAGGGCTGCTGTTTTCGCCGTTTTCTCCCAGTTTCTTAGTTTGCTTGAGAAACCCGCTCTGTGACAATTTGGAGCCTTCGGCCAGGGGGTCGAAGGCACCCCTGTGCGTTGTGCGGACTGCTTGGTACTCTGGGCGCTGTGATTTGGGCCTGTTGGGCCTGTTGGGCCTTTGGTGGAGTGGTAGGAGTCTGTGGGCCGGGGGTTCCCGGGCCATATACTCCATCAGGAGTCCCTCACTCCTTTTGCCGAAAGGTACTTGAGGGAAAAGGAGTAACTTGCGCTTGCCCTTTGATGTTGTCCCGTCGTGATGCCTGAAGTTTGGTGAGGATTTGTTGTTTTTAGGTCCCTGCCGAAGGCAGTCCCTCAGTTACCCACATGTCGGGACTTGAGGGCTTGCTTTGTTGTTTGTTGGAATTTCACAGATTTTGTAATTTAATGATTTTCCCGAAGGGGTCCTCCAGTCCCCCACTCCTTGAGGCACTTGTAAAGTGGTGAAAAGGAGTGAAGTAGTTATGTTGCTGTTGTGGGCCGAAGGCTGACGCTTTTCGTTTCATTTTGGGGGGATGCCTCGTTAAAAACCTCATTAGGAAAAACCCTTTGGGAAAAAATCCTAATGAGGGAAAAAGAGTGCACCGAATTCCCCCAATGATGAAGCGAAAATGTCAAACCTTGGCAAAAAATGGAGAATGGCGGGAATGCCGAAGGCTCTCTCTTCTGAGGGCTCCTGTGTTGATTAGCCGAAGGCTTTCTGTTGATGTCCTGGTGGTGCCGAAGGGGAGCCCCTCAATCCAGGGACCGAGGGCCTGCCAGATGAGGGCAGCAGTGAAGTTGTTACCGGGGGGCCCACTGTTTGTTGATGAGTTGGTGATGAAGATACCCGAGGGCTCCCATTACCTGTGTGCCATGGGCCATCCGTCAATGAGGCACTCCCCGGGGGCTACCCGGTTTTGTAGTGCTGAGGGGGAATCCCCGAGGGGGTGTCCTGATATGAAGCCCTGGGTCTCTGAAGGAGTGATCCCGAAGGCGTCTGTTATGTGCTGTGTGGGGCGCAACCCGGGGGCACTTCTGAGTGATTGTACCCGGAGGCTGTCTTTGATGAAGTGGAGTGAAGTAGAAAACCCGGGGGCTTCCAGAATATAGCCGTTGGAAATATAGCCGTTGGAATACGTAACGACGGGATATAGCCGTAGGGGGGATGGCACACGTGGCGTGTGATGGCCGGTTGTTCGTGGGCGGCGTCACCGGTTGGGTGAAACGACGACGCGTAATGATGGCGTCCATCCGGAGGCCCGGAACCCAGGCCCAAGCCCGGATTCCAGCGCCTATAAATACCCCAAGGCCAGGCATTCCTCCGTGTGCGATAAACTTGTTAGCGAAGCTCTGTCAATTTTTCTAGAGAGAGAAAGTTCAGCCTTCGGTCCAAAACTCAGCTTTCGAGGTCAGTGCTCCCTGCCTTTCTCCTTCTAGCATAGCTGTACTGTGCCCTTAGTTTAGGAGATAGAAAAGTTAGGAAACACTACCGTCTACGAGCCCTCGAACAAGAAAGCGAATGTCGTCCCAGAGTGACTCTCAGGACATCTCGAGGACGCCCTCGATGGAGGACGAAGGCATCTCCGATGTGGAGTCAAGCAGTGATCAGCCCTCGGATTGTGGTGATGCAGCCCTCGCCACTGAGGTGCAGAAAGATCTGACGGCTGAGGCCGAGGCGGAGGAATTCGAGCGAACTGCCGAGGATGAAGAGTTGGCCCTCGCCGTCCAAGTTGCTGAAGAGGAGGAGGAGAAGGAGAGGGCGAAGGTCACTGTGGCCGTCCTCCCCCCTCGGGGTGCTGGTGAGGCCAGTACTTCCCAGCCGCTGAACGCGGTTCCCATCCGGGTGGCCCCCGGGAAGAAGAAGGCCAAGGCGGCTGTCCCTAAGAAGAAGGTCATAGCTGCTGATCAGGGGAAGCCCGTAGATATGCCGGAGGGGTATTCCTGGCTCAACACGGCTGCCCTGGAAATAAAGTCGAAGGCGGACAGGGCGGACCTCTACGTGACGCAGCTACATGTAGGGCCCTCGGCCGAGGTGGTCGAGCCGGGAGTTGACGATGTGCTCTCTCGGGCGCCCGAAGGGTGCATTGCAGTACACGTGCTGTCGGTATCCATGGGCCTTCGGTTCCCGCTGCACCCCTTCCTCCGGGAGTACCTGAGGTTCGTCGGCTTGGTGCCCTGCCAGCTGACACCTAATAGCCATTCCTACGTGGCGGGTTTCCTAAATCTCTGTAGGGACCGAGGGGTGACCCCCAGCCTGGACTTGTTCTTCCAGAGCTTCAACCTCTGTCGAGGGGGTCACGCGAATGCGGAGGGCTTCGCCAACCTGCAGCAGGTGGCCAGGTGGAAGCTGTTTACGGAGGCGCCGTCGTCAAACAAGGGCTGGAAGGAGCGCTGGTGCTATGTCAGGGTTGCTGAGAACCCATTCCCGGCGGAACTTCGGGATCGCTTCCGTCGGCATCCGAAGGTTGGAAGCGCCGCCCTCGAAAAAGACGGCCTGTTGATAGCAAAAATCCCGGAGGGTCGCACCAAGCAGGTCTCCATTAAAGACTATACTGCTGACAAGGGATTCTACGCCCTCGGCTTTCGCAGATACCGGTTTATTGGTGAAGCGGATGAGAAGTACCCCGTTTTTGCTGAGGCCTTCGGGGGGACGGGAGGTAGTCTACGAGGTCCCTTAGCACATAGCTTATCCTGTTCGTTTTTTTTTTGTTTTTTATTTTGTTCTTTGTGCCTTCGGTCAGAGTCCCCTCGATTCTAACCCCATTCCTTTGTTTCTTCGCAGGTGTCCCAGTGAAAATGATGAATGTTAGAGGCCTTGCAGACTTGAAGAAGAAGAAACCCTCCAAGGGCCCGAGGGGGACGGACGCCGGTGTCCCAAAACCCGCCGGTGACTTCTTCAAAAAACCGGAGGGGCCGTCGGCGGGCCCAAGCGCTGATGCTGCTGCTGCCGCCAAAAGGAAGGGCTCGGGCAGAGATCCCGAGGGCAAGAAGCCCAAGACCGGGGATACCGGGAAGAAATCCCCCCCGGTGATCATTGTTGATGAAGGCCCTGCCCCCGGGCCAGATGAGGACATGCAGGTGGGGAAGGTGCCGTCGGGAGTTCAGGGGCCATCTTCCGAGGTCCTCATGGTTTCCCTCCCGGCTGGTACGGCCGTGATGAATGGTACCGCCGACCCGAGGGCGCTTCTGCGAGGCATCACCCTCGAGATTGACAGGGTTGCCCTCGGGGCTGATGAAGACGAAGCCCTCGAGGACAGGATCCTCCGGTCCTCCCTTACAGTAAGTCTTTCACGCCTATTTCTTTCCGTTTTACTTGGAGCTTAGAAACCATATTTGGCCTTGCTAACCCCTTTGTTTTTGTAGACCTGCATTGCCCTCGGGGAGCAAGCCCGGCGGCTAGAGGAGTGGCGCCTTCGCAAGGCCGAGCAGGAGGCCAAGATGCGGGAGCTCATCCGCCAGAATGCAGACGCTGTGCGGCAGATGGCCATGCTGGAGGAGAGCCTTCGGCAGATGACCCTGCGAGCGGAGGCCGCGGATCGGGGTAGGGCAGAAGCCGAGAGGTCCGCAGCTGAGGCCTTGGAGAAGGCTGCCAAGGAAGCCGAGGCCGCGAAGGTTGAAGCCGTCGAGAGAGCCCGGGAGGACGCAATCTCGGGGTTCTTGGCAGGGGGATGGCGGTCCGAGGAGCACAAGCAATGGCTGTCCTCGGTCGTCGAGTCCTCGGTCGACGAGTGGTGCGATGGGCCTGGCGTGGAGTGGGTTTCCCGAAAGGGTAAACAATACTACGATGGGGGCGAGTTCTTCACTCAAGCCCTCATCTATCGGAGGATGGCTCGCCACTTGAAGATCGAGCCAAAGGACTTTGACCCGGCAGCATACGGGCTCCCCCCCCCTGCAGCCAGACATCCGCGTTCCTCTTCCCCCCGATGTCGAGAGGCCAGACCTAGAGGACTCTGAGCTCATGAAGGAAGCCGAGGGCGACGAACCTGAGGCCGACGCAGAAGTGACCTCGAAGCCATCGGGGGAGGCGGCCCCCGGGAGTAACATGATTTGATATGTACTTTTTATCACGTAAACATACATTTGTAATGATGACATTATTTATCCCTCGACTTCGGCCTGCTTGTAATAGTAACATCGCAATTACACTTGCTTTCTTTTTGATGATTGAATGATCGCCTTCGGGCTTTGTATATATGACTTGTTCCCTTTGATTCCTTTATTCTTGGATGTATGCCTTCGGCATTTTTGAATGTATGTGTTTGTTCCTTTGAATGTATGTCTTAGGATTTAGAATACTATCTGATTGTAGCTAGCCCTTGGGAACCTTCGGTAGTTGGGCACCCTCTGCTGGATATGCAACCGATGGTTCGGCAGCAATTAGGACTTAGAATTTTTTTTTCTAAGTGTAGCACAGCATGAGGCCTTCGGGCGTTTGTAGTAACCCACCTCCTAGGACTTAGAAAAATCTCTAAGTGTAGATTCCCCTTTGAGAGCCTTCGGGATATGGCGCCCATTCCTTATGTGTGAATGTTGGACCGAGGGCCCAATGCACAGGACTTAGAGATTTTTGGAAGTGTAGTATGCCATGTAGCCTTCGGCTACTGTGGAGCCCCACCTGTAATATTGAATAGGCCGGGGGCTAATTCTTTTAGGACTTAGAAGATTTCCTTGAGTGTTGATTCCTTGTGAACTGTAGCCCTCGATTGATAGGTAGCCTTCAGCAATTAGGTCCCTCGAGATGAGGGGGAAATATGTAGGACTTAGAAAATCTTCTAAGTGTAGAGTTTCCCTTGGGAGCCTTCGGGAGATGGCATCCCTTCATGATGTATGAGTAGTTGACCGGGGGGAAATATGCAGGACTTAGAAAAATCTTCTAAGTGCAAAATCTCCCTTGGGAGCCTTCGGGAAATAGAATCCCTCCTTGATGTATGGCCTTCGGCTGTCACACTCCTCTAGCTGCAATACTAATTGAGCCGGGGGCCCATCTTTAGGACATAGAAATTTTCTTTGTTTGCAAGTGTTGTTTGTATTGCATAGCCTTCGGCCACCATATTCCCTTGGCTGTAATATTGATTGGGCCGGGGGGCCAATCTTTAGGACTTAGAATTTTTTTCAAGTGCTGCTTCCCTGTGTAGCCTTCGGGTGACCGGGGGCTGCTCCTTCAGGACATCAATGTTTCTAAGCATAAATTGATGTTGAATCCTGTTGTTGTGAAGAAAGCCAATGAGGAGTGTGTGCCCTCGGCATACACTTCAAAAGTTGTAGAATTTGACCCTTGTCATGGGACCTTTGTTTGAGTGGTATCCTTCGGGAAATATGAGCCTTCAGTAACCGAGGGTGTTCCCGTGGGGAGCCCTCGGTTTGTTGTGATCTGTTGGAGTGTACTCTTTGATTTCTCGCTGAGTCTACTCCCCTTCACCCCCCCCCCCCCCCCCTTTTTTTTTTTTGGTTGGTGGTGAAGGAAAGGCATCAAGAAACTTGGTTTCTTGGTAAGGCTGGGCCTATTAGGAGACCATCAGAATACACCAATGGCTCTCCTCCCTCGGGTTAACCTTCCGAGTGCCGAGGGGATCGAGGGACGTTTCCTGGGCACAAGATATGGTGGTCCGTAACCTGCCTCCCCTTGGGGGATGGCGCGGAAAGCGCCTCATTTTTGAAAGTCGTCCCCTCGGCGCTAGACATAGTCTGTGGCCTGCCACACCCTTGGGGTGGTGGCGCGGGGAGCGTTTCGGTTTGGAAGTCGAATCCTGGGCATTTCTCATGCCTGTCATACCCTGGGGGTAATGACGCGGATAGCATTCCGTTTTTGAAAGTCGAATCCTGGGCATTTCTCATGCCTGTCATACCCTGGGGGTAGTGACGCGGAAAGCGTTTCAAGGAAGGGTTTTCATTTGCACACTAGTTGCAAATGGCCGGGGGCACTACGTGCCGCCGGCACCGATGGTGGCGCCTTCGGTATATGCGTCCTCGTGGGGTACGGCTTTAGAAACAACATTTGGTGTTAGTTTCGATGTGTAGCCCCCGGTACTTGGTACCGAGGGGTCTTCTGTTGGAACACTTGGTGTTCTGTAGGAACACTTGGTGTTCTCTTTTATCGTAGTTGATGGAGGTGCCTACCCTCGGTACTTGGTACCGAAGGGTCTTCAAATGAAACACTTGGTGTTTCCCGACAAATGTTTGGAAGTTGATAGGAGAGTATATCCCTGGCACTGGGTGCCGAGGGGTCTTCTTTGATGATGTTTGATGATGGAGGTGTAACCTCGGCACTGGGTGCCGAGGGGTCTTCTGTAGGAACACTTGGTGTTCTCATCTTTTCTTTTTTGGTGTTGAAGGTGGGGATGTGCCCTCGGCACTGGGTGCCGAAGGGAAATGAATTACATGGCGTTCTTTGTTGTTGGTGATAGGAGTTCCCTCCCTTGGTACTTGGTGCCGAGGGGTCTTGACTGAAAAACACGTGGTGTTTTCACTGATGTTGTAGGTGTTGAGGCCTGGGGCCTGTAGTCAGTATGAAGGCTTGATGTCTTGAATGTATCTTCATTCTTCGAAATTGGAGGCCTTGGGCCATAGGATGGTACATTCACTAGTTATGAGGGCTTGACCGCTCTTACATTATTGATAAAATTTAACTAAATGGTGTACGTTCCAGTGCCTAGGGACTTCTTTCCCATTGGGGCGTTTGAGCTTGTAGGTCCCGGGTTTGATGATGGCTGCTATGATGTAGGGGCCTTCGAATTTTGGTGCCATTTTTCCTCCCTCGGTTGGTTGGCTGGCTTCCCTCCTCCGGAGGACATAGTCCCCCACTTGAAATTCCTGGGTCCGAACTTTGGCGTCGATGTAGCTTTTAACTTGCCTTCGGTAGTTTTCTGCCCGGATGAAGGCCTGCTCCCGGCGTTCTGAAATGAGGTGCAGGTCGAGGGCCATGTTGCTGTCGTTGACCTCGGGGTCATATTGGATCACCCTTCGGGTAGGAAAGGTGACTTCCGTAGGAGCTTTGGCTTCAAAACCGTAGCAGAGGGAGAAGGGTGTTTCACCTGTAGCTCGCCGAGGGGTGGTGCGGTAAGCCCAAAGAATGTTGTGAAGTTCTTCTACCCAGCCACCGCCCTCGGCCTCCAGCTTCTTTTTGAGGCCCTCGAGCAAGGTCCGGTTGGCGTTCTCTACTTGCCCGTTGCCTTGAGGGTAGGCAACGGAGGAGAAGGTGTGTTTGATGCCCCATGCCTCCAGAAGGGCACAGAAGGGGGCTGCCTCAAATTGTGTCCCATTGTCGGAGATGATCTGCTGGGGGACGCCAAACCTTGTGAGGATGTTCTTGAGGACGAAGTGACGGCATTTTGCCTCCGTGATGCTGGCGAGGGGTTCAGCCTCCACCCATTTGGTGAAGTAATCGACGGCCACAATGATGTACCTGTTGTTGGAGGTACCCCTCGGCAGAGGGCCCACAAGGTCTATCCCCCATCGAGAAAAAGGGACAGATGTGCTGATGGGGGCATAGTTGACCGCTGGCCTGCCGGGGGCTTTCTGGAAATGTTGACACGCGGTGCACCTCCGGGCAAGATCAGCACAATCCCTGGCCATGGTTGGCCAGAAGTAACCCTGGAGAATGAGCCTTCGGGACATGGAGAAGGGTCCCTGGTGAGCTGAGCAAGTGCCACTGTGTACTTCCTCCATTGCGACCTCGGCTTCATCTGGATGAAGGCACCGAAGTAGCGTGCCATTGTAAGATCGTTTGTAGAGCCTCCCATCTTCGATGGTGTAGCTGGGAGCCCTCAGCTTTGTCAGTTTAGCGCGGGCCTCATTCTCGGGTAGCTGCCCTGTGGAGATGAAGGCGGTGATATCTGAGATCCAATCCTCCTGACGTTGTTGTATGTTCATCACGGGGCTTGCATGGATGCTTGAGAGGCTGAGTTCCTCGATTTTGGCAATTTTGGAGATGTGCTCGGGGGAGTCTGCCGAGAGCTTAGATAATATGTCGGCCTCGGAGTTCTGAGCCCTCGGTATTTGGGTGAGAGAGTGTGCCTCAAATACCCTAAGCAACTCCTTGGCCGCCTCCTTGTACTGCTTCATTCTTCCCTCCTTGGCCTCATATTCTTCGGAGATTTGGCCAACGACCAACTTGGAGTCGCACTTGATGTGGATCTGCCGAGCCCTCATGTTGGCAGCCAGCCGAAGGCCACATAGGAGGGCCTCATATTCGGCCTCGTTGTTGGAGACCTTGAAGGAGAAGCGGATTGCATAGTAGGCCCTGAAGCCCTCGGGCGTAATGAGGACTACCCCTCCTCCGCATGCTTTGGTCGCGGAGGAGCCATCAGTGTAGAGGGTCCACCAGTCGTCCGAGGCAGCCGAGGGCTCCCCGTCCGTGGCTGCCCTTGCGGTACATTCCGTCACAAAGTCCGCTAGGGCTTGGCCCTTGATGGCAGGCCTTGGACGGATGTCAATGTTGTACTGGCTCAAGAAGATAGCCCATTTAACCATGCGGGAGGAGCTGGTGGGGCTCCTCATGAGGGCACCGAGGGGTTGATGAGTGAGGACCTGAACTGGGTGAGCCTGAAAGTAGTGGCCCAACTTCTTGACAGTCCAAACGATGGCCAACACCGTTTTTTCCACAGGGGAGTACCTGAGCTCGGCCTCCCTTAGGGTCTTGCTAACGTAGAAGATGGCATGTTGGATGCCGTCTTCCTCCCGGATGAGCACAGAGCTGATGGCCGCCGGGCTAACCCCAAGGTAGAGGTAGAGGGTCTCCCCTACCTTGGGTTTGGAGAGCACAGGAGGTGAAGATAGATATCTTTTGAGCTCGTCGAAAGCCCCCTGGCATTCTGGAGTCCATAGGAAGCCAGCCGTCTTCCTCATGATCTGGAAGAAGGGTAGAGACTTTTCCGCTGATTTAGATAGGAAGCGGTTGAGGGCTGCCAGGCGGCCCGTCAACCGTTGAACCTCCTTTACGTTGCGTGGGGGCTCCATGTTGATGATGGCCTGGATCTTCTCGGGATTGGCCTCAATACCCCTTCGGCTTACCATGTAGCCTAAGAATTTGCCCCCTTGGACGCCGAAGGTGCACTTCTTCGGGTTTAGCCGAAGGTTGAATTTTTGCATGATGGCGAAGATTTCCCGGAG